TCTTATTTACGACCATAATATTCCTGCAGCAAAGCATGACATCTCATACTAAATAAATATTTAGTATAATATTTATACTAAATTCATTATTATAATAATAATGGTCATGCGAGTGAATACAGACGATATGTAAATATTCATCCGTTATCTTCAGCTACTGTTTGTGTCCATCGCTGGTTGTCATCATGCGTGAAGGATGAGAAGGCTGCCCTTCATAAAGGCTGTCACCATCAACTCAGTTCTAGCATTATGCTTAACAACGGAGGAGTTATTAATACATGGATTTATTCCTTTACCAGATTCTAAAATTAAATGGAATGTAATATGGGTTACGAGCAATCTTATAATAAGAGGTAAATTAATGAAAATTCAATTAAAAAAAAAGACTAAATAATAACATAAGGAATTCAAATCTCTCTTCATATAGACTAAAAAAGTTATCTCATTTCAAGACCAAATTTCTTGAAAATTGTGTTAATAAAACAAAATCTAGAATGCGCATTTTTTGTTTCGTTTTAAACAGAAACAAACATATTTCGCTCACCTAATGAGTTTAACTTTAGCTGACAAAATAATCAACTTCACAATTATTTACAAATATATATTTCAAAGAGAAGAAATAAAAAATTCTTTAAAAAAATCACGATGTTTTTGAAGCTTCGATCTTAAATTCTGAGCTTAGTTAGAGCTGAGTTCTGAGTTGAAATGAATTTAGAGGATGATTAAATCTTTATTTGAAACCTGCGCAAAGGTTTCTGAAAATAAGTGATAAACACGTGTAGATGTCTAATACTTATGTCTGATACTTTCCGGCGAGCGCATGTGTATAAACCTGCGATCAATGCATATTTAAAAAAAAAAAAAAAAAAAAGAATAAAAAGGCGGCGTTTGAATTAATTTTTCAAAATCATGAAATCTAAACACTTTTTCTTTTAAATGTTCACTATTACATTATTCTTATAATTACAATAAAAACTTCTAAAACTATTACTGGAATTATGTCTTTAATAACCGGTAGTAATATCTTGCTATACTAAGTATATTCAGTTTAGAGTAATTTAGCGTTAGGTAAATACGAATGTAAATGAATGACAAGTTGCATCCTAATCTATATATTTTTAAGGCAATTTTATTGTTAATGTGTGGAAAATATATACCGAAAGTATATGTACTGGTAATTTTGAATGTTCACATGTATAATATTTGATTGTAATGAACATTGAATTGATTTTCCGACAAAAAGCGTTCTTAACAAACAAAAAACATGAAAGCAGTACTTTTAGTGCGTACCACTCAAATCTATGATTTTCTGACAACATTCTGGTAGTTTTAAAACTTACATTTTAAATACTCCACTTATTCTAAGCTATTTTGAAAATGTAGAAAAATTATTCGCTTTTTTAATACATTTAAGCTTTTTGATTGTTATATTTCTAGTATCTTAAATTATCAATATCCCCTTCTTATTTATTATTATTGCATATCCAGTGACAGAAATAAATTTTCTCTATACAGAACACATATAGTCTTCGATTTACTCAGCGTATTTACAGAAATCAGCATAATCGAATTTGGCATAAAATGAAGAGATTTCATAATATCTGGTTGAACATAAACATATGAAAGCAATGTCTTTAATGCGGATAGTAATCACCACCGAAATGTATGATTTCCTGCCAACATTTTGGTCGTTTTTCAAAGCCTTCGGCCCAGAAATTTGGTGGCTGCAAGTCCAAAAACAGGTCAGCATCATTTCGACGTCCTGTGCAGCTATGGATGATAGCACTAGCAAGATGTCAATAAAGGTAGAATTCTGAAGGAGTGATATTGTGAATCGGCAAAAGATCCCATTCGAGTCCGTACAGAGACTCGCCAGTGAATGCAGACACATGTGGTCTTGCATTATTTTGAGGGAACATTACCGTTTTGCGTCGTAACTAAATTCGACGTTTTTCCTTGATAGCAACGTCAACAAGGACTAGCATCTCCCTGTATACCTTACACTGTCGAGGGTTTTACCATTTTCCAGATACTCTTTGTGGATAATACAACGGCATTCCCACCAGATAGAAAGCATGATCTTTTTGTTAATCAAATTGCGGTTTCCGATGCTGCAGACGGTCTGACCGGCTGTAGAACAACTCTCTTTTCTGCTTGTGTTGTTGAAGTAAATCTATGTTTCATCACAAGAACGATCCTGTCCAGAAGCTTGTCCTTGTGTTGGTATTCGAGCATATTAGTGCAGGCCTGAACACGTCTGTCCTTACATGGTTGAGTCAGCTTATGCGGCACCCAGCGATTGGACCTGAACGTCAAGTTTATGCTATGCAAAGCGCGATAATGGAGGTGGCACTAACGTCTAACTCCTTAGCAAGCTCTCTAGTGGTTGCATACTGATCTTCTTCCACTAGTTCTCGTAGGCGAGCCTCATCAACATCAGTAAGCAGGCCAGAGCGGTCTGCTTCTTAAATATCATAGTCCTCGTTTTTGAACTTTCAGAACCAAACCTTCACAGTGTCGTATGATACAACATGAGTACCTAAAGCTGTACACATGATTTGGTGACATTCTGTAGCAGACATTTTGCAACAGAACTGGAAGTGAATAATGGTTCTAATCTGGTAGCAAGATTTCAGGCACCTTATACTCAATGATAACGATATTTGTTTTACAAATTTCAGTGTTCTAAAGCAAATTTCTTGCTTTCAAATGCAAAAAATCGTTTGAGAACATATGATTAAACATGCCAACGCGAAATTCTTGCGCAGACGATGTCTGCGGTGGCAGGAAACTTTCATTAAAAAACCCCGATATTTTAGTACAATGTATCTAATTTTATAATTCAAATTTAAGAAAATACACACGGACTATTTTAAAATTATGTCAAGACATTCGAACTGATGGAAATTCTAGTCAGAGCATTACGAAAAGGTTTTGTTTTTATTTTGAAACATTTTCTTTAAATGGCTACTTTCAAGTCACAGAATAGTGCCAATTTTATGCTACAAACCTTACCTTTAATGTGTTCTCGTTAAAATATCCAGTAGCACGAGGTCTTCTACCTCATTGCTCGTTCCGTTTATTCGGCATATTTTCATCCAAAAATGGTCCTCACGTCTTGGCGGTAGACGGGAAGCTTATCTTGCTGGAAATAAATACGGAAACTGCTGGAATATTACGGAATGATTTGTTTTGCAAATAAAGATTGCATCTATCTTTTTAATAAATTCTCTATTTATGGATTGTATTACACATAGGGTTAAGCAATAATGAATTTATATCAAGAAGAAAAGTCATATTAAAAGCAAACTTCTTTTTACTGCTCATGAAGAAGTGGTTTTGAAATTTCCGAAAGACAACATAATTTTTTTTCTGTCTCATCCGTTAATTAAAGATTTTTGCTTTTCCAAAAGACTTTTATACAACTTTCATTCTACAAAATTTCAACGACTTCGTATTTCGAACTTTCATTCTTGCATCAAAAATACTCATCCTTTAAACAACAAATTTATAACTGGAACACAAGAAGAAGATTCATTTAATAATTTACAATTTACGAAGGTTTTTGGAATCCACGACTTTTTAAATTTATGGTTTGTTAGCGGATAAACTTCTAACAACGCTTATCAAGACAATTAAAAAAAGCTAACTTTAATTATTGTTGTCAGATCTGTACCTGAAAATATACCGTTAATACCATGTGCCATTTGTCAAGTATTGCGCCGTTAAATAATTGGTATATTTAAGATATAACTAACAGTTAATTAAAAATAACGTAAAAGGAACGAATGCATATGCATTTATAAGCAAACATTTTTATGTTTATATATCGTTCCTTGATCTAGACACCAAAATTTGCAAAATGGTAAACAAAAACGTTAGATCGGAACGTTGCAATTACATTCATTTTTACTTTAAAAAAAATTTAATACTTTCCGAAAAAAGGGTTATCAAATTAAAAAATTGCTATTAGTTTTAGGCAGAATTACATTGATTTCTGCATTACAAGCTATAAAAGTTTCAGTGAAAAAAAATTGTGATTATACCGCTATGTGTACGTCAGGTGCTTCATTAAATACTAAATAAATGTCAAAACAAATCAGTGCGGTGAGTAGCAAGCTATAATAAAATTAATGAAAATGAAATACAAACTAACCATTTTCTTACACTTTCTTTACTACTACAAAGAAACTAATAAAGATGATGAATGCGATAAATTATAATATCAGACTGTTATGAGTACGCACTATGAAAAACTTGGAGGTTCAGGCGCAAAAAACCGGGAGTTTCTGGCAGAATTTCGCGACACAGGTGGCATCATTTAAAACAAAAACAAACAAACAAACAAAACTTCAGACTGGCTTTGTTATGCATACTTCAGGTAATGCAAATATTTATAATAGGATTCTGATGTAAAGTATGTTAATATTTAATTAGATATTGTACATTTTATGTTCATTAGTTAACTTCATTTTGTAATTTTCTTACACTTTAAAATTAATGAAATTTTAAGCAGGAAAAGAAAGCTCTAATTTATCAAAATACAATTTAAACACGATGAAATATAATTAATAATTGACGTACTTTTACTTACCACATGAATCAAGTAAGTAATGTACCATACAATCATGTAAAATGAAATTGCATACAAATATTAATATTATTAAATTTTAGTTGTATCTTCATATGAAGTTCTACAAATGTCAACGATAGATTAAGATAACGCAGATCAGATAAATTTTAATAAGAAAAGCAATCCCGAAAATCACTTAAAATGGAGGAATGAAATATGGACAACTTAATTTTTATAAATTCAATAAATGTCATTAATTGCTGGAAAGCCTTTCATTAACAAAGGCTAAAAAACCGTGGGACTCGGTGATTTATCGGGAGAACGGGTTTTAATATAAAAAACCGGGAATGTTGGAAACTATGATATATATGGCATTTACACAAACATATAACTTACTTCTTAAGAAATATCCAAACTTTTATCATAGGAATAGTTTCACTACCTTAAGTAAAAGAAAGAATTAATGTTACCGAACTTTTAGATCTTGCAAAGATTAATGAAAAGTGCGAATCACACGTATCCTTTCCTCCTTTCTCTACCCCATGTATTTTACCAATCTAACGTTTCTGTGACGTCAAAAGACGTAATTCTTGCCTAGACGGCCGTAATTTGGATATCAGAAAAGAGAAAAAAATAGGAGACAACCAGCATTGAGGTTTTACTTGGCCTTCAGCATTCAGTTTTCCTCGTGTCAAGAAACGGAGGTACAGGGAAACTACAAAAATGCTACGTAAGTGAGTTTTTTTCTGATTCTGTTTCAGTAATTGAAACTGTTAATAGGTGTTTTCAAAAGTGACAGTGAATGTCAGCGGAAAAATTAATTTTTATCTGTGTTGTCCTCATTATATACAAAGAGAAAACAAGATGTTAAAGAGCTACATAGAAAGAGAAAACGGGAGTTTTTTCCCCTTTCAGAGCGGTTTTCTTGAGAACTGTAAGATATCTGCAGATTTTAGAAAATATATGGCAAAAATTTCAATAATTTACATCATTTATATTAGTTTATTATAATATTTTTGAGAAGTTATTCGTCTTCTTTTCGTGTTTATGTTTTGCGTTACATCTATTTTACATCTATTTTATGTACTTAAATATAATTTACTTCAAGAATTTATGTCAATTTTCTGCAGCGATACGGCATTAAAATGCGAAAATTATGTAGTTTGTCTTCGCAGTTACATTGTTTGTAATAAATGAATTTTATTCAAAATGCGTCTTTTTTATGAGCGTAAAATAAAAGCATTAAAAAATATCTCAGTTTTCCGAATATTAATTAATTATTTATTATCTTTGTTGATTAATAAGTTAATCAACAAAATAAGAAAACCTAAGTTATCTCCATTTAAATTGCTCTCGAGAGAAAAACTTTACAAAAATACAATAAATAATATACACATTTACAAGATTTACGGCTAATATTAACTCTAATTGCTATTTACCCAAATTCTAACCCGCTTTACAGAGAGAAACCTAGGGAATCGAATCCTCGGTTGAACCGATCTCTGAACACTTTCTATCAATAAATTAAAAAAATTTTCATTTTGAAAATATACAGCAAATAATCCATTTTTTGTCCAATATTCGAACTCAAGTCCTGCTTTATACTGATGAGCCCGGGTTCGAAACCCACAGAAGGCATGGGTGTTTGTAAACGTATAGTGTCTATGAAGCTATAGGACACTCAAAATACACGGCGAGTCAAAAGTCTTCTCGAGATGTTGTGGTAGGTTAAAAGGGTTGGGAGACCCTCGAAGCATCTGACGGGGTGTTTTTCCCCCCTGAAAACTGAGACGGAACTGTACAGTAAGTGCAGCAGGACTATACATGTACTACTAATGGTGGAATTCTGGTATCCTGGCCCCTTCTTTTCGTACCTGCCAACCTTAAAACATGAAGAACCGGGAGTTTTGGGAAAGTATTCACGTTGCGCAGCAATGTCAATTCTAAAACCCTCCAAATTAGCTTAATTTTCCTTCGTTAAGCGTGATTGAGGTTACTAAATATTTATAACATGATGTAAAATTTATTAATATTTAAATATATATTCTAAATTTATATTCTTTGGCAAACTTCAACTTGCAGTTTCTTGCAGTTACTTATTCATACTGAGCAAATTCTGAGTAGTAAGGCCCAGTAAAACCTGAATAATTTGCAGCTATATACCCATACATGAAAACTAATCGTTTTTGAAATATAAAAGTGCTAAGTGCGTTAGCGATCTCATGCTGGAGTCTTAGATTTGAATGAACGGAGGAGCCAAATAGTTCAGCAATAAGAATTCTTCTCTTTAAAAGTTTTCCCCGGAAATACTTCCTTTTATCAGAAGTGAAAGTTTATGGCTTGAAGGCAAACATTGTTTTAACCACATATGGTGCTGCTATACGGTGCGTTTCTTTTACACGCCGTTTTTGGAAACTGAAAGCTAAAATTCTGAGAAAAGTATGGTTACAAAGGTTGAAACTTTCAGGTGCTGGTAGAAGAGCATGGATTCAGGGTTTCAGAATCTAACAGAACAGCAGCGTTCATTAATATGTGTCAGGAAATCTAATCCAAATCAGACTCACTGGGATGTTCTAATGCTGTATGATATAATATAAGTCCATATGCTAGGGAAAAGACACTAAAATCTGTTGATTCCAGACAATAGTGAAAATCAGTGCTTCTAATGTGACTGAGACCTATAACCCGTTGAACAAGAAGTCGCCGAGCTAATCGTTTCATTATGAAACTAACACTATATTATATATTTAAAGACTGAACGTTATGTCAAAACGTCATATTAATAAACTTTGAGAAAGGAACTTTAAGAATTTCAATAAAAATTTCGAAAGCATTCTTAGTATATCGTAAGAGGTGTTAAATAAGGGAATTATTTTATAAATTTCTCAGAGCAGTTCATAACCATTTAATATGTAACGCATCGATCAATATGAAAAACTTTAAATTTTCATGCTAGTTCTTATTTAAGATAGTTGTTCATTTTAACTTCTTATGAATGTTTAAAATTATACATCAAAGCAACATTTCTCATTCAAACTTCTACAGAAATGTCATATTTTGGAAGGAGTCGCTAAGAATTTCAAAAAGAAAAAAAAAGTAATGAAGAAACTAATTTTATACAAATATATTTTTAAGCATATTTTATATTCGGTAATATGTATAGGAGCATATTTGACGTTAGTAGATTTACAAATTTACCTCATTTCACTAAATTTATCTAATTATCGTTAAGTTTATTAAATTACGGTATATTATATCCTTTTTTACATTTCCGATGATGATAAAATAATTGCAATAATTTTAACCTAATTTCATTCTTTTTATTTGTACCATATTGCTTACATTTTGTACGTTTACAGACACGGAATTCATGAATGAAAACGGCCCACCAGCGGCCGAGCGGTAACGTCACTGAACACTGGTAGTTCGGTCCGAGGTTCGAATCCCGCGAACGGGCTGGCTGTATGGGCGTTTGCGTGGTTTTCCCCATGTGTAACGTGTATACGAGCCAGTTTCCCTTAGAAAGTCTTCCACGAAGGCATCCCTTCCTTAAGGCAGATAGCCCCCGAGTGCTTTGCCATAATCTAATAAAACCAAAACCAACCATGAATGAAAAAGTCCGCCTAAATTCTCGAACTATAAGTACATTTTTATTGTCAGTAAACATAAGAAAGAAGTAGGATTTATTTATTTCAATTTTCTGAAAATAACTTTTCAGAATTCTAATTAACCTTAAATTTATAACTAAGATAAAATTGTATTAAAGATACTTAATGATTTTTATCTAAGTGTTTCCTGATACATAGATATTATCTGAATAGCTCCTCAAAGTTTGATCAATCAGTAAAATATTCATTATGTTTCATTTATTCAAAAAATTACGCAGTCTGCTCAATCAACAGAATGTTCATTAGGTTTTATTAAATTAAAATGAAAAAAAAAGGTTCCGCTATCTAATCAGTGAAATATTTATGAAGTTTTATTTAATTAAAAAAATTTTCATACATTTAGTTACAAACTTTGCAAAGATAAAGAACGAGTTTATTGATTTAGGTTTTTTTAAAATTCTTTCACCGTCTTATGTTTAGAATCTCTAAGGAGGATATTAAGGAGGCAGCTGATTTCAGAATTAAAGGTTTGGGGAGAAAAGTAATTCATTATTAAATCTACAGTTTAGCCCCTTTGTTTTGGTAAATATATTTTTACAAGTATTTTTGAGAGTTTTGAATGTAAAGAACACAGAATTTTTTAAATTTTAACTAAACACGGCATAATGGATATGTTACTACTTGTAATTTTTAATCTTTGAAATTATAGAAGAGACATTCGTTTTTTTTTTTTTTTTCTATTTTCTCCTTAAGCCTTCCCCTACACAATATCAAGATTGTTCTAAAACAATTCCTCATTTTATTTCAAGAAAATAGGCAACTATATGTCTAACACAACAGTTTAGGAAAAAAAATCTAGTGCCACCACATTCACTCTTTTTATACAGTACTTTTATATTTAAAGGAAATATATCAAGTTTTAATCTTGAAAAATGTGTTAAAAAGGGCATATCTAAAGTAAAAAAAAACATAGTTTTCAGATGGCTGATGTTTCAATTTTTTTTCCCTGAAGTATTCGATAGTTGTTACCATGAATGCAATTAAAACAAATATAAAAGTGAACATTCGTAACAACATGAAAATGCATAATAAACATAATAAACTTGATATAAGATTCTAAAATGAAGTTCGGTACTATTAATTATGTATGAAGATGTTGCCAAAGAAGCATAAATCTTATGAAAATTCACTGCCCATATTCAAACAACAAAATCTCTCGAGAAAACAACATTGCAGTTCCTTCTCAAACCACTTTTTGGACTAAGTCTCTCATAATACAGCTAGATAACTGCATTTGATTTGAATATGTTTCTGTACAGGAACCAGCTGTCAGCCGCACTAGATTTTTCATTCGATGTTTTCTATGACATAAGAAGCCGTGCACAAAGGATTTGTTCTTGAAACTGATACTTTTGATTTACAATCCAAAGAAGGAGCAATATGCATTGAAGAACAATACTTTGGAATGACAATGAATGATGCCAGTAAATTAACCGCAAAGGAAAGGAAAGCTGGAGCTGAAAGTTGCTGTCTCTTGCGAAATATCCGCATTATAAGCTTCAATTTTTATGAGATCTCGTTAAGCATGCTCATGTGCTTCTTTTGTCACATTAGACACACAAAGAAAGGATGTAAATAAAAATTCCTGTAAAAATGTTGTAAAAGTCAGGTATTTATGCAAAAGAATGTACGAAAATCAAATAGAGCTTCTGGAGCGCAGTTCTGGTTTCGTATCTAAATATGTGCTCCAAGTTACTGTAAGTCATAATTTCATAGTTTATAAACAGAAGCCTATTTTCTGAGGCCGTCTTAACCTAAGTTTTGCCTGCTTCGTGATTAACATGAAGTTTACAACACTATTAATATTTGCATTTCACAAAAGCCTTTACCCTGAACATTGTACCGAACACACAAATGTCCATTTAAGATCTCTCATACGGGTGTTGTAAGTGCCATTAATTGAAGCATTTGTATGTGGAACCGAAAAACGATATCATACCATATTTTGTGATTTATTATGACCCACATTTGTATGATTACTTTGGAAAAAAAAGAAAAGAAAAATAATATTTTTAAAGGAAACAAATGCAATAATAAAGGTATATTAAATAAACACATATAATTATTAACAACTAATTGATAATTATTAATTAATTGGCAGATACAGATAATGTACACTGCGCAAAAAAGGGGGAGCAGTTCTATACAGTGGGTACAAAAAGTATTTGCACACATACATTTTTGTTCACAATTTATAAGAAAATACATTAAGAAATACAAAAATTGGCATTTAAAAACAGAATAAGCTTATTCATTTAAATTAATTACAAAAATACAATAATATTAATAAAAAAACATTTTTTGCAACAATATTAAAATAACCTTTGTTAAAAATGTATTTGCACACTCAACTCAACTTTAAGCAAATTTGCATTTTTATGCTATTATTTGACAGTCATCCCGCAGTAAATAACATACGTAAGACGACTATAAAAGAAGGTGTTGTCGAAACGTTATCAGTTGATTGTCGATTTCAAATTGTAATGGCACCTAAGAAACCTGAATTGCCGATTTCGTTGCGAGGAAAAATTGTTTCTCTAAGTGAAAATGGCCTAAGTTATCAAGAAATAGGTAAAAAAGTAAATGCTTGCTTCTCTACTGTTCTGTATATTATAAAGCGTCATAAAGAAAGAGGATCTACATCAAATAACTTGCGTTCTGAATGCCCAAAGAAACTTTCACTGCGAATAAAGCGAAAAATCATAAGAGAAGCATCGAAAAATCCATTTGTTAGTGCAATTACTTTAGCCAATGATGTCGCTTCAACATCTGGTGGTGTGGTGTGGTGTATTTAATTATGGCAAAGCACACGAGGGCTATCTGCCTAAAGGGAGGGATGCCTTTCGTGGAGGACTTTCTAAGGGAAACTGGCTCGTATACACGTTACACATGGGGAAAACCAGCTTCAACATCTGGAGTTCAAATCTGTGCCCAAAGTGTTCGAAATGTCCTGCACGATGCACACATTTATGGGAGATCTCCAAGGAAAAAACCTCTCATAACTGAACGAAATAGACTGAAGAGACTTGAATTCGCTAAGGAATATATCAATATGCCAATTGATTTCTGGAAAAATGTCATATTCTCCAACGAGAGTAAGTTCAATATCTTTAAATCAGATGGCAGGAAATTAGTTTGGAGAAAACCTTGTACTGCTTTTCATACCAAAAATGTTAAACATGGAGGAGGTTCTGGTATGATTTGGGGGTGCATGGCTAGCAAAAGAGTTGGTAATTTGTATTTCATTGATGCGAATATGACAGCTCGAACCTATTTTGATGTGTTGCGAGATAACTTGCCACAAAGTGCAATAAAATTGGGTATCAGTAATTCGTACTATTTTCAGCAAGACAACGATCCCAAGCACACTGCCGGTATAACACGTATGTCGTTGCTTTATAATGTACCCAGAAAACTTGTCACTCCACCCCAATCACCTTGACTTAAATCCTTTGGAAAATTTGTGGAATTCTTTGGATTTAAAAATAAGTAAAAAGGAAGATTTCAAGCAAATCTGCCCTTAAACAAGCTCTTATTGAAGAATGGTCGAATACTGACCCTACTGTTACAGAAAATTTAATTAAATTCAATGCCAGCAAGATTACAAGCAGTAATAGATGCTAAAGGAATGCATACTAAATATTAATTATTTGAAATTTGCTTATATATTTTATTTCTTTGTATTCATGCAGGTGTGCAAATACTTTTTTTGATACGAGATATTTTAATTTTGTTACAAAAAAGCATTGTTATTTATATTATTGTAATTTTTATGTTTGTTTTGGATGATTAAACTTATTCTGATTTGGCAATACAATTTTTTTATTTCCCAATGCTTCTTTTTATGAATTGCAAACAAAAATGTACGTGTGCAAATACTTTTTTTACCCACAGTTTGTCTCGTTCTACTGGGCGAATTCAATTTGCGTTTTTCATGTCTCGATAGCGTGACTTTGGATATGTATTAGATTTATATAAAGCATTGTTCAAATATAGGTATTTTGACACGAAATCGGACTTTTCTGAAATAACATGTCAAGTTTTTTGACGTTGTTTTTGGTATGTGTTTGGTGCATCGTATCCTGCTAGGTTATGCTCCGGGGAATCTACCACCTCCATCGTAGGTTTGAATATTACCTAGAATGTAAAATAACGCGGGGCAGTGCTAACACGTTTAACAATGAAATACTGATTCTCAAGCACAGAAGTCTTTTCCGTATAGAAAACGCGGATTCGAACAAAGGTGCTTAGCTCAGATACTCCTCGCCCCATGTTAAAAGGGAATCTAGGTATGTCTGAACTCGCCAAGATCAAAGAGTTTAATTTCACATAAAATTATAAAGGCCAAACAATAGTCCAAACTTTAGAAAATATTTCATGCATATCACAAAAGTAAAGAAACCTAGGTACAAAATGTGCTTAATGTGAGTTTGGAGCTCACACGTGCATATACATACAATCAGATGCATTTGCTTTCCGGATGCGAGTTTAATTTTTATCTTTCAACTCGTATTATATGACTGAATTTAGATGTGGTTTGGTTTGGCTTATTTAACTACGGCAAAGCACTCGAGGGTTATCTGCCTAAGAGAAGGGATGCTTACGTAGAGGACTTGTTAAGGAAAACTGGCTCGCATACATGTTGCACACGGGAAAAACCATGAAACCGCCCATGCAGCCAGCCCGAGGATAAAAACTACCAGTGTTCAGGAACTTTAACCGTTCGGCCGCTGGTGGGGCCCTGACTGAAATAAGAAGTTCTTGGACTTTTGCGTGATCTTTTTTCATACGTGACTTAGATATATTTGTATTTTTTATTCAAGTTGTTTGTGAAATCCAACAATATTTCTTTTTTTCTGTTACAAAATTATCATTTCCAAAAACTAAACAATGGAACATTTTTAGAACATAAAGATTCAGTTAGTCACTGTACCACTGGTAATTAGACTTTCTCGACATCCATGTAGCAGAAGCTGGCTACCAAATTAATAAGCTCGGGTTTCAATTCCAAACAGGGCTCGGAAGGTTTTGAAAGCATATTTTTGTTGGGTATCAATGCTTAAAAATACGACATTCAAAAAGACCCAGACTTTTGAATATCAGGATCTTTGAATTCTATGATAGAGGGTGTTTTTGTAAAGTTCAGGTAGAAACGGGCAAATCATTCTACCAGCAATGGTTTTTAAGGTCTATTACCAAAGACAGAAATTTCCTGATCTACTCATGATTAGGTACGAGTCTGTTCGTAGACTGGACCTGTATTATTAAGTCATCATATTTATTATTGAAGCAGTTATAGGAATAAATGAATGTTACAGTTAACTCCTAAAAGTTTTAGCAAAAAACTAAAGTTATTCAAATGTATGAAAACGGATAGCAAATTCATCTAAAGTAGAATTTTAGTGATAAACCACTTGTTTAATAGTCAATAAATGCAAAGGCTAGGCTTTTAATTTACTGCTTATATTTTAAAAACTCGAAGGATTATTACAGGAAATAAACTATGTTTATATTTTGTAGAACATAGCAAAATGCATCGGAAAGGAAATGACAGAAAAATCTAAAGTTCGAAAGATATTATTCAATGCATCTCACCAAGTTTTCAAATAGAAGAAAGAAAACTCAGAAGAAAGATGACATTCATCACAACCAGCTGCCGTATTCTCGAGAAAACTCAGGATACCGGAACTTCTTCTTCATATCATACACAGAATTCAGACCTACTTTCTGAAGACAGAGGGTCTGGAATTTGGCGTGGTTCCCATGGCAATGAGCAGAAGCAACTGGGTTTCCCCGTTTGAAATGCAGCCAACGCTCCTTAGCTTCAATTCAGTAACCATCGATTAGCTTCAATTCAGTAACCACCATTTTGTGACAATGTTTTTTCCCTATTATGACTACACCATGATTCAATATAATGGGAAAAAACAAACATTGCTATCATGTTATGATATAATGCTTGAGATGTTGTAAAATTGAAGTCATGTTATGATATAATGCTTGAGATGTTGTAAAATTGAAGTCATGTTATGATATAATGCTTGAGATGTTGTAAAATTGAAGTCATGTTACGTCATTATGTCTGATCTATTATAAAAATAAACTAGTGTATGTTCGCAAAAGTAAATTACCGTAGAAATTCATTATTTCAAGTTAAATGCTCTGAACTTGGATATTTTCAAACTCATTTTCATTGTTTAACCTGAGGCAGTTCTTTAAGTCTGTGATTATGAGAACGATTATAACAATAATTTTTGTTTAAATAATCTGATTAAAGTTTACAAAACTTTAGAACTTAGTATTCCATAGCATATAACATATTTACTAACATAATCAATAATATTAAAAGGTATTAAATTAATTCTGTAATTAATTATATAACAATACACAGTATATATTATAATACAATAAAATTTTTGGGAGTATTATATCATTAATTATACTAAAAATATGTAATTAATTTGGCATTACTTTTGATTAATTCGCTCTATATTTACAGTTAGATTATTTAGCATACTATAAGCAATATAATATTAAATGGATCTAGAAATAAACTTTAATATTAATTAATTATGTACTTAAATACCGTTTTACAACTAACAACATTATGCAGTTAGATTAACTAGCCAAATATTATTATTACTAGTATTTATTTATTACTAATATATATATATATGCATAGTTACATTATAGCAGAAAAAATTTTTTTAGACCAAATAGGGTCACAAAACGTTCGAAAAAGCAGAAAATCCGCTTAATTGTGTTATTTTTTTCCAAATTAAATGCATAGTTATTGCAATCAACATCATTAATGTCATGAAAGTAATAATTATGTAATGCAAACGATAATTCAAAAATAATAATCAAAATATACATTCTTTACTAAAGGGAAAGAATGGAACTAGTCTCAAGAATAAAAATTCATACACAGAATTGCTCGACGTGAAACAGAAGCTTAATAGAAAATATTTTATTAAAGTAAAGATTCAACAAGTCACAAGGCATAAAATTCTTATGTGGAAAGCAAACTGATAGAACCTCACTGCAGTTCTTAAATCTGTATTCAGAAAAGAACACTTATTGTGGCAAACCAACGGCTCACTGAATAAACAAGGATCATTAAGTTTATATAGCAATTCGTAATACTTTTCATTGATGTTGTAGAGTCATCAGATTTTTTGGAAGCAGAAGACGAGGAACATATGCAGTGACTTTGGAGGGACTCGAAACCTGGACCTCTCAAATACGCGTCGAGTATGCTTCCAACACTACGAAGGCATGCGAATTATCATCTACCACCGTTCAGTTCGGTCGCCAAATGTAGAGCCATTATATATATATATTAAGTAGGAGACGTGAAAAATTAGCAATCCCCTCGCCGGGACTTGAACCCTGGACCTCTCAAATATGCTTCCAATTTCACCCCGAAGGCATGCGGAAAGGCAGGAGAAAATACTTTATAATATGTCTACGCTATGCATTTGCCAAGCATTTTAAGGCCGAGCCACATCTCATACAAAATTTACAAAATTATACATACAAAATTATTTGTATAAATTAATTAACTCGCTTCCTAAAAATATATACTTATTACCTTTTCATATCACAAATAAAGAAATTAAATCACGTAAGTCTTAAAAAATATATTTAATTTTTCTTGGTCTGCAAAGAAGCTAAAAAAATCTAAATAGATGAAATTCTATAGTATTTTAAAATTAAAAATTATGAACAATATTCTTTTTGATTTCTAATTATCCATACTATAATACTGTATTTATATTTCTTTAAAATATTTTAATACAACCAACTTCATTAACATACCAAACCTTTACATAAATTAAATTATATTGCTTAAAATTGGGAAAGGATAGAGAAAAGTTGATATTAGTTTTGAGAAAAAGATTACGGTCCTTCAAAGTTGTTAACACCTTTCTAGGACATCACGTATTCTTTCAAGCAGATCAAAGTAACAGGTTACAAGAAAACTTCACTAATTTAAAGGAATGTATCCAGGCCACCGTAATAATTTCTTACAGCAGACACGAACTAAAATTAGAAGAGATTGAAGAAGATAATGAAAAATAAATTTATTCTCCTATAATATGATGCTATATTGATAAATAATAATTTTTAATTAAATATGAATCCAAGAACAAGGGACTTGAAATTACATAACTAAAAATATTCGACTTTTATTTGGCATAATTCCAAGGCAATCTCTTCCTTTTCTAGAAGCATATTGTTATTTGAAATTAACGAAAAACAAACGCTTACCATTTATTAACTTAAGCAAATAATTAAATTTTGAAAAAGCAATGAATATATCAGTTTTACTCATATATTTAGAGTCATTATGGAAACTCCAATGCAGTGATTCAGCAGTACGTAGAAAAGAATTCGGTAAGCAATGAATGATTTTAGGAATTAGAGTTGCACATAGAGAGAAACGGAAATACTTCTTAATTCAAGAACGAAGATAAAATAATTAATTTCAAATCCTTATTTATAGTATTATAATTTATTTGTGCAAATAAAATATATAATAGTAATGCACAAATCTCATTCGAAGGCTCATCAAAATATTGTTAAATACTTAGTATCTTTCATTTGTGCCCTTTAGATTGAAGAAAGCTTAGATTATTTGTTTTCATTTATTTTAAACATGTATATTTACATAGTTTATTTAACAGTTTTCATCGTTTGACATATATATTTTCACCATTCCTTTCTTAGTTACAACTATTCCGATTCTAATTTCACTTGAAAAACATAGTGTTGTTTAAAAATATAACGAATTTTAATATAACTATTTATTAACATTTTGAAAAAAGAGGCGTATTGTCTTCCTATTCCAAAAGCATATTGTAATTTGAAATTAATGAAATGATTTTTACAGAAAGGAGGTTTTTAAAGAAGTGAAAGATAAAGGAACAATGATTTACAATTTCAGGGAAAAAAATTATAGAGAAAGGGAAAAAAATAATTTACTCGGTTTTTCAATAAAAACAGACAAAAATGCTTTACTCTTCTCTCAGTATTTAACAGAATTTGTGAAACATCTGTCTCTTTAATTTAATCTTAGGGCTTAATGTGATGCCTTAGAAGCCTTCTGTGTTTGAGGTACGCATATTTACTTGTTTTGCCAGTCTTTTATGACAATATACCTAACAACTAAAAAAGACTGACAATACAGCTTATTGCGTCATAGCTAATTAATTTCTTAACATATATAATGGCTTTCTGCCAGAAAAGCTATTATTACTCATACTAAATCTAAACGCAATACACCATGTGAAGCGCAAACGATTTTTTCCGATAATGGAAGGGCAGTGTTGTCTTCAACGATTATTGTTTCGTAGAATAAGGTTTTCCTCATCATATAATATGGAAGAAAACTTTATCTCCACTCTCTTCTGCTTAAATGGAAAAATACAATGTGTTTTTCCTTCTTCTAAATTGATTTCATATTGCATAAACAAACATCAGTTTCTGGCTTAATAGAGTAATTCTTATTACAGATCGATATGTCAGGAGGAGGCCACAGTATTCCAAATTGAAAACAAGGCGTGTTTGTGATGTATTACAAACAAGCATTTATCTTCAAAAATGGCGAAATTCTTAGAATTAAATCTAGATTTTTTTAGAATGTCTCTACAACTGGACTTGGACTTGTAAACTTCGAACAATGAAATTAAACACGCTTAAATAAATCATAAGTGCGCTTCAATCAAGATAATTCGACTTCTACTGTCTAATTAATTATAAAATACACTCATGTCCAAATTAATTTTTTCATAACCAAAAATAACGATATTTCATGAAATATGTAACCAATGTGATCAATTTTTGCAGGGAATGTGTGAAAGACGAGTCTAATTAGTCTTATCCAATCAAAATTGATCAAATGGTTTCTGATATGCAAATCAAGCGTTTTGTGTATAGTGAATGCCTGAGTGAATTTCTGCAATACAGTATTTTATATCAATGTGTAACCTCAAAACTTCTTTTTATGGCTCTGAAATATCATTTAGAAGAATCTGCGAAGTGGCGAGTCATCGGTTGTTTAGAAGCAAGGCAGATAATCATGGAAGCATTGAGCTGTGTGAATATTTTTTAAGACAGAGAGAGTCCCTATGCTACGAAAAAATTTCAGAACTCTGGAACTGTTGTAAAGAGCCTAGAAAATGTAAACGAACAATAACTTTGTCTTAAGATGGAACTGACAGTACCTGCCCGTTCTAATAGAAAGTCTGTTGCTCTACAGTTAACTCTTTCACATCGAAATCGCCGAAAACACCCGACCATTCAGACGTCGGCTAGTTGCCCGAACGTCTAAATTATTTTCTACCTGGTTGCTTTCTCCTATAATGTTAGTGAATGGCTCATTGCTTTTGGGTGTTGTTAAATGACATGCCACTTATTCTTCTGAAACGACTAAAAGTAGTTCTGATATTTGAAAGCACCTTCCTTCTTCTTTGTTTAGAGTCAATGTTTAGCTTGTCCGGAGCTGCAATCTTGTAGAAAGAGAAAACGGCAAACAGTAGTGAAAGCGTTTGATGATCCGAAGAGAGGAATTTTGGCTTTTCTTAAGTAGGTTATTGTTAGCGCTGTAGCATTCAACTTGGCAAAGGGCAGGGATGGGCCAACTCCGCCCCGCCGGAAGGTTCTATCCGGCCCACGGAGAGAATTTAAATTTTTCCGTCCGAGGCAAATTGAAAGAGATATGTATTATATATCCATCTCCTTTTCTATTTTGTTTAAATATTATTTATTTCTTCCTTTTTTCAAAGAACTGATGATCATTTTACTCTCTCTATTTTTGTTCTACAAAACATAAAATGACAGAAATAGCAAGCATAGACAGCTTTTAATCCGTAAAGTGTGAGCAGCGGAAGTTCTTTGTTAGTTATAGCTATAGATTGACGTCAACAAGCGTTATCTCTTTCTCGGGGAGCAGACATATAGGAATCCAATTATAGGTGAATTAGACCTCTTAGAAAGAACTTAATCTTAACTTAGCAAATCTTAATCTGTTTGCTGGGCAGCTAGCTAGTCTCGTTTCCCGAGGTTAAATTCAATACCCTCAGTAAACTGAAGAGAAGCTTAAAATTATGAAGATGGCTTGAA